GCTCTCTCGCTCTCTCGCTCGCTCTCTCTTCCTCTCTCTCCACTCGTCTTTTCCTCTTTCTCTCCCTCCCCTTCTCCTGCTTTTCGCTGCGTGCTTCCATCCTTTCTCTCCTCCCTCCTCCATCCACAGAGCTTTCGGAGCTGCTTCTAGTTCCATTTCTCATATCCATTCCTCTCCCTCCCCTTCCTCCACTTGCCCTCCATATCCCCCCCTCCCCTTAGCACCGGTTGAATTGAAACGGCTACCAGATCCGACTGAAGATCTCCGTGTTCTGTTTTTCTTCTTCCTTCCCCACCCTCCCGTTCGGTGTCGATTAAACTCAACTTTTACCGCCATTTCGCGACCTTACCTTAACTGACTGACTGACTGACAACCATCCGCGCCCGAACCCCAACCCAATTCTTTCCTTCCCCCCAGTCAATCAATCAAAAACTTCATGCTGCCAGCAATCCCCATTCGTCCCAATCCACCCCTCCCCTGAAGATGATGATGGATTTTCAGAAACACCATCCTCATCATCCATACCATACGCACCCGTCCATGTTGGGCGTCGTCGCCCACGACCCTCGTGCTGCGCCCCCCGCGCCGCCAGCTCGCGCCTACGGGCCTCCACCACCATCACACCCTTCCTCACCACGCATGTTTTATGACCATTTTCATCGCCGCGAGCCCGAGATGCCTCGATCCGGTATCACCCCAACCTACAGTTACCCGCCCTCCTCGGTCCCTACCTCCGTGCCCCCCGTCTCGTACGCCCATGAGAACGCCTACGCGGCATATCGAACAGAGAGCAATGGGTATCACACATCAGCAGCGAGCCATGTCTCGCTGAAGGAGCAGAGTCTTCCCCGGGGCAATCGAGAGCCTGAACATCGTCCAGACCCTCATTACCCGATCAGTCACGTCAACAAGCCCGAACGTCGGGTGGTATATCGTGAAGGTAGGCAAATTGCATTTTCTTTGGTTATGATATCGCTTCAAGTTATATTAAATTGCCCGATAACCCCCAAATAATGCTCTGCTATCGTGCGGTTCTCTCCTTTCTTTGGGTCTTTTGTTTTCTTATATTCTATCCATGTTGGGATGTGACTACGAGCCCGGTATGCGGGAGTGTCAGACCATGATCGCGTCGCGATGACCGGACCTCTGGGGACATGACTAGAAGCAAGTAAGATGCGAGAAGGAGCAGAAGCTGCCCGAACTGGGAGGATGCAAAGAAGAAGGGAAAAAAAAAAAAAAAAAAAAAACTCCTCTGATCGGAGTCTAGCCATCTGCGAGGGTGCAGTGTGGCGCGGCTGCAGCATTTGTTTATCCGTACTACAATCCCAGCGTCACTGCCAGATTCCGACAAGGAACCCAAACTTTGTGCCCGGCAGTGCGAGCCAATCAGGGGCGGTGCAGGCGGCGCGTCTGTGGCGCCTGATCGACTTCCAGCCCAGGAAGCCTCGGGAACGCTATGCCCGATCCGGGCTAGTCCGGGATGCCAGGGCATCGCTTCCCAGGTGGGACTAGCGTCGGACATGAGCTCGTCCAGGCCCAGAGTCACGGGTTCTGCCCCAGTTCGGAACTCGCTTTGCTTGTCGCGCGCCATTCTTTCTTCCTTCGCCGCCCATCAGCTGCTGCCATCGTCATCTTCCTCCCTCCTTCACTCCCATCTCCCTTCCCTCTCTTTTCGCCCCCTCGGGCCCTTTCCTTCCCCCCTGCCGCTTACTTACCGTTCCTGATTCTACTATCCTCCCGGTTGAACTCTTATCTGTCCCTTTCCTGATTGTCGCGTTCCCTTATAGCTCCCTTCTCCCCCTTTGCATGCGACATGAATCCTCCCCCGTCGCATGACCAGGGTCGCCGGAGGTCCTTGGGCAGCAGTGGCAGTCCCGCGTTCCCTGGTGAGTCGCAGGCCGTTGGACTCGCGCAACAATCCCCTGATGTCCTTGCTATCTTGCTTGCTGCAACCACTCTGGTTCTCTCTTGCAGTGTATCTGTTGTTTATGCTGATAGGACATATTGGCTAACTCCGACTTTTCCCTTATCATAGGTGTCCAAGAGCAGTCCGCTGCGCCGCCAGTAGGGCCGCGACGTATGCCTCCTCCCTCACCACCCCAACACTATCCCTCCAGAGGCCAAACGGGAAATGCTCCGTCCCTGTCCACTCCCTTCTTGTCGCGTGAGCCTCCCAGCAACCCGGCTCATCACCGTCCAGGGAGCAGCATGTCGATATCGTCCATGCTAGGCTCGGACGCTGACCGACCAGGCCGGGATGTAGGCTCTTCGTCCATCTTTTCGCGTCTTCCAGTCTCGTCCGCCCCGTATGGGAACGCCCACCCACCGTCGGCCCCCGGTGCCATGTCCCCGCCGACCGCGCCAGCGCGTCCGTCTCCGCTCGAATACCCAGGTTTCCGACGCTCCCAGACCCCCGAAAAGACCTTTGCGAAGAATCAGCCGTCACGTCCATACCGATCCGGCTCCGGCGGTGTTCCCCAGCCCATGACAGAACAGGCGAAATTCGGTGGCCTGTCCCGCGGCCCGCCATCGTCACAGTATCCCGACAAGCCCAGCTCCACCCATCCCTCGCCCCAAATATCGTCCGCCGAAGCCCCGTATAACGAACCACGCCGCCTAAGTTTCAGCGGGCCCGCTCCTCGTCCCAACAGCCAGCCGCAGCACCTCGAACCGCCGCCTCGCACCACTGGATATAGTCCGCTGTCACGGCCTGCTGCCGTAGCCGGGCCCGGAGAGGGTCCATTTGCCGGTACGCATCAGCGAGCGGCATCATATATGGGCCATGAGGCCCAGCATCACCGGTACGGAGGCCTGTATGCGGATCGACACGCGGAGGAACAGGCCCATCGTGAACGAGAACGTGCGATGGCGCACGAGGCTGAAACCAAGGCCGCGTCTCACCCTCCATCGCGGTACGGGCCGCCTTACGGGGACCGGGAGGCTGCAGCGCATCGCCAACAAGGCGCGTCTGCCTGGGACTTGGGCCGGTCCCAGCCCCCGTCGCCTGAGACGAAACGGTTTTCTGTCCCGGAGGCGGGCGCCGATTTTGGATTTGGCGCTATTCAGAGCTACACCAAGTCTTTAGGCTCCCAGCTCGGAGGGTCGCGACAGCCCTCGCTTTCCGTCCATCCCCCTCCCAATCAGCCGCCTCCTCCGTCACACGATCAGCCGCCATACCTCAGCAAGCTGCAGACTGAGACTCGCGCCTTTCCGCCCACATCGTCCGCTGGCCCACCCTCGGCCGTTCACTCCGCGTCGTCGGATGACCAGCGACGCAAAGGAAGTGATGAACTCATGGCGCATCGTAACCTTCTCGGGGTGGGATTAGATGCGAAGCGAGGGGGGCGCGCATCGCCGCTGCCCCAGGCGGTGCAGGGTGCCCAGGCTCAGATCCTGGGTCCCGCGGGTGAGGCCGGAATTAAGAATGAACTTGGCCGAGTTTTCTCCGGGATTGGAAGTGGTGTGGGAGGGGTCACTGCTACCACTGGTGGCAGTGGTCCTTCGACTCCCATGGCTCCGAGCCCGTTCAAACGCGACAGTGCGGCTGGTCGGTCCAGCAATGGGGAGACAGATGATCCCAAGATTACTCGGCCTAGCTCAGCGAATGGGAAGCGATCGCGAAAGTCGCGCGACGAGGATGGTCGCGCCGAGAGCGAGGCGGCCGCCCTGGGTGCCCGCGGTCGACGGAGCAGGCATCTCCATCACCACCATCATCAGTACGTTATTCCCTATTCTTCAGGTTTGTAGTACCCATGCTAATGTGCACAGCCATCATCATCATCGCCATAAGCCAGAAGAAGAAGCTGCCGCTGCTGCTGCTGCTGCTGCTGCCGCCGCTCTTGGCTCTAGCCGTCCCCTGTCTTCGGTAAATTTCTTCCATCGAACGGCCACCCCCGGGGAAGGCAGCGCATCCGCCGCAGCGCAGGCCCTTGGACATCACCACCACCATCACCATCATCACCACCATCATGCTCCCCGACCGGCCGGGAATACGGCTGTCACACCTATGCGCGAGCCTCGCACGGTGGTTACTATCGAACCACTCCTGTCGAGCGTCACCCATCTGCCTCGACACCACCTAGGCTCGACCTTGTATGCGCCCCGGATCGGCGCACCCACCGAGAAGGCAACCTTGGAAAGTGCCAAGTTCGGTTACACGACTACACCGCTTCCGTTGCCTCGCTTTGAAGGCAAGGAGAACTGCACGTTTACAATCCGCGTGCCGCGTTTCCGCATCGACACCAGCCATCGCGAGGAGATCTGCGCGCGTCGCGCCCTCTGGGGCACAGGCGTGTATACGGACGACTCGGACCCTGTTGCGGCGGCAATCCACTCTGGCTTCATCCGCGGTGCTTGGGGTGAGGATGTGGATGTAGATCTACTGGACCTGGAAATCAGGGACACGTATCAGCATGCACCTAAAACGGCGCAAGATGTTGGCGCGGAAGATGGAGAGCGACCCCGGGTGCCGCCAGTGCCACCAAACGATAAGGATCTGCATATTACGCTGCTGATCCTCCCCCGGCTGGAGCGATACGACTCCAGCGTGTTGTTCGGATTGAAGTCGCGAGCCTGGGAGGGCTCGCATGACGGCATGAGCTTCAAGGTGCAGCGAGTCGAGTGGGTAGATGAAGGGGTCGGGCGTGGTGAGGAGCGCAGTGGCGAGGCGCGGCGCAAACGCCTGCGCAATCTGATGCAGACTGGACGGATCTGCACAGGACCGGGAGTGATCAAATTGGAGCAGCTGCGAAACGGGGTGCAAGTTCCCCGACGGAAGCCGCTGGAGGGACAGGAGTCGATGCCGGTGTCTTGACTGGGTGCAATTTCTTGAAGTTCATTGTTACGACTGCAGTAAGACTGTATCTGCAGCTGACGGCGTTGGAATTTTCTATGTATTAGCGAGGCGTGGCGAACTGAAACTCTTTAATCTACGGATATTGGCTTAATCAAGTTAATTTAAATGCCCTTGATCGAATGCATCCATCACTATTATACATCCCCTAAGACCCAGCAAAAGATCGAAGAAGACAATCCCCTTCCCCCATAAACACCCTCCAAAGCCACTCCCCCTTTAACAAAAACCCCACATCCGCTCTACTCCCTCCAATCCCACTCCCACCAGTAGTACCATAATTCCTCACCGCATCCTCCTCATTCCTCCTCACCACCTCCTCCACCTTCCCCTTATATATCCGCATCAACACCTCACACCGCTCACAAAGCAACAATCCACATCCGATACCCATCGCCTGAGGCTCTGTGATTTCCTCCAGATATACATCCCTACTCTGCAACCTCGCACATCCATAAAACGCAGGATGCGGACACAGTGAACACCACGGGTTAGTAGTAGTAGTAGTAGTAGTAGTGGTAGTAGTAATAGTAGGTTGTAGTGAACTTGCTGAAGATAGAGATGATGATGATGAAGCGAGATTCGTATACGCGGCCTCGAAGTCGAATGTATTGGGGTCGTAGCCCTTGAGTGGGAGAATTTTGTGGGTCGTTGGTGTTGGGATGGATTTTGATGTAGTAGAAGATTCCGAAGATGGTGCTGGTGGTGATGATGATAATGTTGATGATGTGGGGGTGTGTGTACCACACAGCATTATCCGCAATCGTTCCAATGCACAGGTCACGCATATGCGTGTTGCTGCAGTAGTAGTAGATAATTGCGGGTGAAGTTCCATGTAATCACCTAATTTGTTCCCCCGGGGCAGGATCGGTAAGACGGAGATTGTCCGTGGGGGTTGGTAGTGGCCGAAGAGGCTGTAGGGGAGGGAGGGGCAGAAAGAGCAGGTTTGGGATGTTGGGGTTAGGGTTATGGGGTGGGTGAGGGAGGTGGTTATTGTTGTGATGGTTTGGATTATGGGGGTGGTTGTTGTGTAGTCGGTGGGTAGGCTGGTGGTGGTGGACATGGGTTCACAGATGATAGTGGACTGGATGCATTGTTCGCATGGGTACTTTGTTATCCCTGTGTCTGGTCCTTGACCATTCAGGGGATGATGTGTGCTGGTTATGGAACATAGCCGCCCTGTCTCGATGCATGGCTTGCATGCTGATGATGGTAATGACATTCCCCCGGGTACATCCCCATCCCCTATAATCTTATGTTCCTTTTCGTCAACTATCAGATCGTTATCATCATTATCATCCTGATACAGCCCAAACGTATCCAGAAAAGCCTTCCCGGCTTCACTCTCCATGTTGATCTTGATCTTTACGATGAGACTCAAGTTCCCGTTCTCCGATGAGGATGTTTTTGCTCGCTTCACTGGCTTCTTGCGTTTCAAGTACGCTCGCTCGATTCGCGGATCGTAGTCGTCGTCGTCGGTGCTGTCGTCTTCGTCGCGCCAGGAGGTGAGGATGGTAGTTGGGGTGGTGACTGGTGGAGGGCGTTTGCGGAGAGAATATTCCCGCGTGGGAGGGGTCGTAGTGGGCTTCTTCTTAGTGGTGGTGGTTTGTTGTGTGCGTCGCCGTCTGGGTCTCGGTATGCGGAAGAGGCGCTTTGCGAGGGCGAGGCGGGTGAGGAGCTGTTGGAGGGTTGGAGGTGTTGGCAGAGTTGGGGTGGACATTGTGGTGGTGTTGTGTTTGGTAGTGGTGGTGGGTGGTAGATGTTGGAAGTGGGAGGGGAGGAAGGGTATAGGGTATGGTGGTAGGGCTGGGGATGTAGTGAGGTGAGGATACTGGGCTTGGTGATAGGTGGTCTAGGTTGTAGGTGTGGGTGCTCAAATGTGATTATGGAGTAAGGTTGGATTGAAGCGTGCTGGTAAGGACATGCTGCTTACTGGTGGTTATACATCACTGGTCTACTTTTTTCAATAGTCAATGTAGAAGTCGTTGACAAGTAACCTGGGTATCATTCAAGTAAACTCACATCTCCCTCGCAGATACTCCTAACATCTCACAGCCAGTATAACAGTAACATCTGACCAACATATAGCAAAGACTCTTCAAAAAGCAAATCACTCAAATCCAACACTAACCCAAAGTGACGAATTCGCTAATTCAACAACATCACAAACACATATCAGCAAGTCATCCATCGCCCTCAAGCAACTCAAACACTCAATCGGTTCCATCCCAATCATCAGTCATCCACAAACTCACACCCAAGCATCATCTTTCCTACTTCTTACCAAGGGTAGTTATGCTATCACACCATCAGCAACAAAGACTACCTCATTGATCAGTCACACCAAAAGAGTATATACATACGAAGGCGAAATAGAGACACCCAAAAATAAAAAGGAATGCATATGTAAAAGCGAGGAAGAACAGGAAGCAGGTCCCACAGCCAGAACTGTGTCCTGAGATGCTTGTTAGCATAACTCCTTGCATAGGTCTCCCACATCAAGAGGGCTTCTTACCATATGATGGGGTAGGTCTCGGTTCTGGAGCCTTAGTTTGCTCCTGAGTAGTTGTCTGGCCCTGAGTGGTCCCCGGCCAAGGGGTGTCACAAGGCTGAGTCGGTGCAGTGGTATATGTCGACAAGGGAATGTTTTCCGTGGATGGGCTATGGTTGTTGGCTTCTAGATCGATGATCTGGGCGGAGTAGTGGGTGACTTGGCCGTCTGTGTACTTCATTTTGGTGGGAGTATAAGGTGAGTTCGAGGTGGTTGCTTAGTATATTGAGGGTTAGATGTGTTTGTGGTTGATGCGGATGAAGTAGTGGGTTTGATGGGATAGAGAGTATAATGGTAAAGGAAAAGAGAGGAAAGGAATGTAGATTCGTGATGAGGATTAGGAGATCCCGTTGTGATGATGATGCCATAGTATGTCATGACAGGGTGAAGCTGTTCCTGGTGAGTCAGATGTGTCGCTATTGTGATGTAGATGACTTTGACATTTGACGCTGCGGGTTTGTCACTATAGATAGAGAAGCGCTTTATCTCATGTTTCTATGATACAGGTGGTGATATTATAATGGTTTGGATCTATTACAACCCTGAGATACTCTGTCTCCTTCTTGATTGGTCTGTTAGTTGCAAGACAAGTGATGGCAAAGCTGTAGGTTGAAGACCTCATTGAGAACAAAAGTTACAATTTGCAACAGAGAAATAATAGGGCTAGAAACGTATCTTTAATGCTCTTTCTTTCTTCTATACATGACCTACAAGTACTGAAACACTGGTTGGAGAATCTCAATCGACGAATTTTCTATCGAGGACTACAAACACAACCCAACTCATACAGAGGTACACTTCGAATTACTGGAGGCGGTAGATCATTTATATTCAGTTTCAGGATCATAATTCTATCTTCTATACCACATACCATACTGCCTTCGGGATGGGTATCAAAGCCTGTAGGAAAACCCTCATAGGGACGAAAACCTACAGGAATCCCTACTACACTAGATGAATAGCATTCCCATACATAAGATAATCCAATCAACTCCTCGACTGCTGTCTGTGTTGTCGGGTAACCCCGTTTCTGCACAGCAGTTAGCTTACTATGCTGCTACTATGTAAGGACGTGTATGCTCACATCACCGACGACGTTGGCATATCTTCTCCTTTCTCTCCAACTCAGCGGAGACGATCTGCCATCCGGTGTAGATTTGATACCTGTTGCATGTTAGCCAGCTGTTCATTATAGGAGTCAGCTGAACTTACCAAGTCTCAAGGACTGCCACGACGTCGATGCCATCCCGGGTGATGTATTGGCCTCTGCGGGGTATGCCGAGGTCGACTGGCTCGGTATCGTTGGTGGCGATATTGCTATCAGTTTTATTGTAGTCGTTGCTGATGTTGTTTTTGTTGTTGGTAGCGTTTGTAGTAGTGGTGGCGGAGATTCTATTATTGTAATAGTTGTTGTTAGGGCTCTTATCGGCCATGTTGAAAGTCTTATTTTTCATGTTGTTGTAGCTGTCTTTGGCGATCTTATTGTCGCTTTTGTTGGTATTATTATTTACGTTGTTGATATTCTTGGCGGTACTGGCAGCGGTAGTAGCGATCTTCTTATTAGAAGACTTAGATGTGGATGACATCTCCACAATATCGGAGGAGTTCTTGTTGGTAGGATTCCTCTTCTTGGAGGACTTGAAGATGGAGGAGAAGGTAGATGAGAAGGAAGGCATGGTTGTAGATAGGGGATGATTGGTAGAAATGTAAGGTTGAGTAGTTGGTTGGTTGAAATGATAAAGTAGAAGTCGAGGTTAAGGTTCGATCAACAATAAATATCAATGAAGGGTGTGTTGGTAAAGTTGTTGTAGTATAGTCGAGTTGAGTGTGGAATAGTAGTAAACGTGGTGGTTGTCGAAGGAGAAGTTTTGGAGCAAACCCACTGAAATCTGGGCGGGTTTTATAGTCGACAGATCTTTCTGTAGAGCTCATTGTGGCCACTTGACGGGTATAGAAAATTTGGAAACTTGATAGTCGTGATTTTGACGTCTTTTGCGATTTTGGAGGGGAATCACGGCTAGGTGATGCTATATATGATTTCACGGTGACTGGTATACATTGCAGGAGAATACGGGAACATCCCATGTATGGTCAGTAGTACAGATCCGCATGTATGCTATGAAGGATTAGAAAAATTCTAAGCTAGCATATTTAGGACGTAGCTCGGTTGATTGAAAATGTTATAGAGTACTAGGAAACCGGCGACCATTGTCTGAGCGAGCAGGATCCAGCTCGAGAAAATGAATGGGATGGAAAGGTCTGGAGACGACCATGGCACCTTAATCCGTACCGGCTTGTAATAGTCATCAGGTGCGAGGTATCATCCGACACAAGTTCCATGGATTGCAGCATAGTACTATAAGGTTATCTGATAAAGACTTGGATAGAATCGAGCCTATTTATAGATAAGCCCACAATGTAGAGCTTATGAGTTTCTGTAAATATCAGCTTCAGTAACGGCTGAGGTTTCTATTAGAAGGTAGTGTAGTACACTCTGGATCATCGTAAATCTCGTAAAGGTCTATGAAAGCTCCTCATATAGTCACTCTTCACGTAAAATGTGTTCCGTCGTCGCGGCAAGACAGATGTAATTGAGCTCTACAGGCCTAATGTCCTTCCTCATACTCATCATCATAATCTTGATCGTGACCATCCACATACTCATCATACCCGTCGTCCATATCGTCCGAGAAATAGTCATTATCTGGGACAGCGGCAGCATGGGTCTCATGTGTGCTCCATCCCGAATAATCATCACCGCGTCGCATGTCGGTCGGCCTAGGATGGGACTTCACCTGCGACGGATGGAGCCGCGGTGGAAGCCGACCATTCTCCCTCTGCGGCATCGCTGAATTTCCTGGCCGCTGTTTTGGTTGTAGATCTGGATCCTCGCCTGGAGGTTGATAATTCGGTCGGGAGGCACCTGGATGTCGAGGCCGCTGCGCCAAACCTTGGCCGCTGTACCCACGCCGAGGTGGACGGGGTCGTGGCGGATCGTATCTCTGCTGTGAGGCACGAGGTGCAGGGGCATGATTCGGACGCCGAGTTCTCGGCGGCTGAGGACGGTAGTCAGGTCTGTGATTCATGTTGGGATCGTGGTCATCTGCTCGAAGGCCATGGTCCCTAGCATTGTCCATATTGGTACAGGCGATGGCGTCGTAGAGGTAGTCATCGAATCTTTCAATGGCCTTGGCGACAGAAACGAACTGCCGATAGTCCAGTGTACGTGTTGCCTGGGGACCGTTGCTAGCCTTCTTGACATTCGGTTCGGCATCCTCGTCCCATTGGTCCTGTGAGTTTCTCTCCATTTCGTAATGTGCAAGAGAGTACGCTATCTGAAATGCATTTCGGATCTGTCTACCATTCCATCTCTCATACTGCTCATGGGTGTCGTAGTGCCATTTTGCATAGTCCATGATGGACTTACTGTCAATTGCCAACTCCGGTTCTCTGAGGGTGCTGGAATCACCATCAGCTTGCAGCTTTTGTTTCGCCTCTTGGATTTCAATCAATTTTCGGATGTTGAGTTCGAAGATTGACAGGGTCTGATCCTTGTCCAGCGGTGGGTAGTAGAGGCTGACGTGGATGCGGGATTTAAAGGCCTCATCTAAGGTTCCAACCCGGTTTGTAGTGAGGAAGAGAATGCCACTGTAGTATTCGAGGACTCTAAGAAATACTAGGGAAAAGTCAGCATATTCTATGATGATATATGGATGCCGGCAATTTGGATCCTTACCTGAGACGAGAGCATTCCGTTTCAGGTCGCTCACCTCTCGGCGAGACAGGAAGACATCAGCCTCATCAAGTAACAAAACACAGTCCCAAAGATGAGCCAGGCGAAAGATATCCTTGAGAGAGGCGTCGACTTCTTTCGGAGTAAAACCAAGATCACCACATGTAATGACAAACAGGGGTTTATTGTTGGCTTGAGCAACAGCCTCAGCTGTGGCAGTTTTGCCCACACCAGGAACACCATGCAGAAGAATGACCAACCCCGAACCCTTCCCCCGAATCAAGTCCTGATTCAAGCCAGCGTTGGGTCGTTGTTTCTGGATTTCTTGTTTCGCAAAATGCGTTTTAACTAGCGATCTGACCATGCGCTTGTGATCCCGGTCAATCTTAAGATCTTTGAAGACGTTCTGGGGTGCGGGATCCTTCTTCTTCAGGCCGCAAATGTCGACCATAACGAACTTGCGCTCGCGAAAAGCATATGCGATGACGCGGCGTGGCAGGAGTGCGAGGTCATCTCCACCGAGTTGTCGCATAGTTCCGGCTTCCCATGCCCTGAGAAATCTGTCCTCTTTCAGACGGCGCTTGGTCAGCCAGTCGCCGAACCATTCGCCTAGCTGGATAGTCTCCGTGATTTCCCCGAGAAGTTTGGATCGCGAACCGTTTATCCAATGCTTGATATAAAGCTCATCATCTCCTACCGGCCAGCCAGCGTCATCAAATGAGTCTAGACCGTCAAACGATGGTGAACTCAGAGAAGACTCTGCTTTGTATCCCTCGAGGAAGTCAATAATTACATCGCCATCAATGTGCTCGGAGGCTATTCGATGCTCCGAGTCAGGATCCCCGGTTGGTCCATGGACGAGCGTCCATCCGTCGTAGTAGAGGTGCCTCTCTCTCACGAAATTTTGGAATTGTGATCCCTGGTCTCGAAGGCTCTTCATCATTGCCTCAGAATCCTTCGCAAAACGCATCGGATAGACTTCGAGGGTCGTGATGTCTCTCTCCCCAGCATAATCCGGGATCTTGAACTTGTGTCGAACCGGTCCATATGAGGACCCGTTGTAGTCAATGTAATAGCCATAGAGTGTCAATTCTTTTTTGGGATTGACTCGCGTGTCATCAAGGTAGTCATCCTGGATCGGTGATAACACCATGGAGTAAAGTCTCCAGGCACTTTGGTACATCTTGACATTGGCAGACTTGGCTGTCCCCGACGTCTGCGAGAACTCTGACCTAGAGGGTGCATAGAGGAGCTCGCCGGGTTGGAATGACATCCAGAGGTCGAGAAAGCGAACCTTACGTTGACTGGTCCCGGCAGCGCGGTTCCAGAGCGGCACGATCTCTGCTTCCACAAATTTGATATATCGTCGAACATGTCTGAGTCCAGTGACCGTGTCCACAACTGGTCCGGCGACGGCCTCTTCCGGATCCACGGACCCAGCATCGTCACCAGCAATTGATTCCTCATCCGTGTCGCCGTCTAAGTCGTCTGGCGCCTTTACTTGTTCGCTCTCAGCTTTGGTCTTGGCCTCGGCCTTTGTAGCAGCTCCTTGATCCCCGTCTCCCTGCGCTTCGTGTTTGGCCCACTTTGCCTCAAGGATTCCCAGACACTCCTTCATCCGGGGTAGGTAGTAGTAGAATGCTCGGAAGGGCGGAAAGAATACCCGCGGTTTGTTGATTGCCCAGTTATCATCATGTCCGCTCAAGCGCGAGAGCAGAAGAAGAATCGGTGGCGATTGGATCCGAACGCGCTGAATCCAGCTCGACTCAGCATCCACGATCGACTTGGGCAACCTGCCTTTCATTCTTCTCTGGTACTTCTGCCGCACATAATATTCTTTCATTATCTCGTGGTTGATTTGCGGATGGCCTCGTAAGACTTGGATTATCTCTAAGCCCGCGCTTGGGGAATAGCAGTTCTTGAAATGTTCGAAATCAACCCATTTGACGTCGACGACCTTTGGCGTCTTCTGTAGCTTATCTTCCCACGATTCTTCCTCCTTTTCAGACTCGGTCGTGTTGTCATCACCGTTTGGTGGAGTGACAGTTGTGTCGGCAGGTGTATCATCTTTGCCCGAGTCGACAGCAACGTCCACAGGGCTCATCATGTCGGAGGGGCTTTCCTCCAGGGTAGTAGCCTCGGTGCCGGTGGCTTTGACGACGTCTGGCGGCACGGTGTCACTTTCTGGATTGGCCATGATTGTAGCTGGACGAGAGGACCGTTTGCTTGAAGCTGTCTGAAAGGGCTGAAGACGACTGATCCACCAGCAGTTTAGTTAACCTGCAACAGCAAGAAACTGGCTGGCAGCTGGTCGGGAACTTATGATTGGATTCTCCTTAGCGAGTCGTGGGAATGGTCGGATCGTAGGAATGCTACTGCTTTAAGTAGGTGGAAAGAATGGAGAGGCAGCCGCGTGTTGGCTGTCATGCTGAACCAGGATCCCCCGGATAAAGGCTGTCCAAAGGGTACTTTTGGAGATGGCTTGTGGAGCCCCTAAGAATCCGAATTGGATTGATAATACGGCTCCTCTCGACGATCGACGCATCTCACTTGCGGTCAAAACCACATAGCGTTCTCAGAATGGCTGAGCTGAAGAGCTGAACCTGTGGCATCGGATTGACGTGCTGGTGATCGACAAGCTGAACTGTGGAGCTGACAGGACCATACTCGTTCCGGATTTAGCTGCGTGATCAATGCAGAGAGCATGCTCCACAGCGCTCGCTTTCGAGCAGCCAGCCCATTTATTTCGATCAACGCCGCGATAAGCGGGACAAAAAACGAGGCTGTGTCCATAGAGTGTAGCCGATACCTTTACTACGTAGGTCGAGCGGCTTGGTTCGTTTTCTGACAGTGCCATTGTGTTGAAATCCCTCAAGTCAGCGCAGGGCTGCTTTCTCCTTTTTCGGTACTGGACGAACTATCTCAAGTTCCATCCCACCAATATCACCTACCAGTCTTCAGGGATTCAGCATCACATTCGGTCCAGTCTTCCATCTATGTGTGGTCAAACAAAATGGACTTGAACTGGAAAAATCCCGACAGAAGGGAAGTCGCGACAACTGCTACGTTCATCGACTCAGAAGCTCACAAGATCCATGACGGGTTTGGAGGGTCGTCCAAGCTCGACCTGGAGCGGGGGGAGTATGTGCAGTTTCGGCCTTACTTGTAAGCTGCATTCGATCCTTGCTGTGTCAACCTGAGGCATTTCCTGATGTGAGTCTAACAAAAGAAATCAGACAGTTGGAAAGGGCTTTGAAGATCTACATAGGCACTGTCCTGGGCATCCGTGTCCAGGAAGATAGCTGGGATGGCTTGTGCGAGAAAATAAATCATACAGAAGATCGATATCGCAATCGTAAGGAAGGTCTTTGGCATTCGATATGGTACAAGATGGGCGACTATAGTAGTATGCTCGACGGGTGGGTCGCCCTCATACCAGATGCGTATGGGCTTGCTGTAGTCAAAACTGGTCTTGCAGTTGTGTTCAAGGTTAGTCTCACATGTTCTATGTATATCTTGTTGAGGGTTGTACAAGGTCTGGGACTCACTTTGCTAGCTTGCCGAACACTCAGCAGAGAAACGAAAAAAAATCTTCAACACGTTCGCGGAATTGCGAGATGCTCTAATGCGAGCGGATCCAACACGAACGAGCTTTCGAGCCAACAAGGAAGTCGCATCCTGCGCGGAACATCTCTATCAGACCGTTGTGGATTCTATCGAGGATATGATACTATTGACCTCGCAGGAGAAATCCACATGTAAGTGGGCAACCGTACATCAGTCCCTGGAATGTGAAAGTTGCTGATCATGGTTAAGGGCGAAGACGCATTCCTAAGTTTAAGCATAAGACACCTGCTCCCGATCCTGATACAATTCTGCAAAATGTAGCAGATCGAACCAAGGAATTCGAGCGTGCTGTTGGCATGGCTCGAGACCAGGCCATTGAGGGCACGGCAGTGGTGTCTCAGGATACTAACATCAGGACTGCTATGATTCAGTGGGACGTGAGTGCCACGAAGAACAACACGGAGATCCTGAGGTCAGATATTGAGAAGAGTGGTGTGAGGCTTGAGAGTATGGGTGGCGAGGTGGGCGAGGTGCATGGCTTGGTGTCTCAAATCAGCTCTGGCATGGAGCACATGACCACGGAAACCACGGGCCTGAAGAAAGGAATCGATGAGAACACAATCTCCATGAAGAGAGAATGTGAGAATAATGAGAGAAGACACCAAGAGTTATGCAACCTCATCATCGGGCAAGTTGAGGCGAAGAGCAAAATCGCCAAGCGAGAGAGCGCCCTGGAAGACGGCTCACGTAGTCTAAAAAACCAACTCATGACGCTCCTTCTCGAGGGTAGAAGTAAGTAAAAAATGTGGACCTGGATGAAGCAATAACCCAAGCCACTTGTTCAGCTGACATCAAATCTCACAGAGAAAGATGCCGAGATTGCCATGCTGAAAGAACGACTCAATCAGAACCGGAAACGCGGCGCAGTGGTCAGCTTGAATCGTTTCTGCGAGATTTTAGCCCAGCCCAGCTCTACTGAAGATAAGCCAGTCGATATAGAGCGCATGTTCCAGCACCCAAACGAAGACTTCAGACGAGCCCTCGTGCACAAGAGTAGGTTCAATGCAGCCACTCAAGGCCAAGTCCAATCGTTGCTGCGACATGAACGGTTACACCGATGGGTAACCAGCCATCACCCCGACCTGATTCTCGTCGACGCGAACATCAGCTCGTCCGGCCTGTCAAAGGTGTCCGCCATATCAGTCTTTTGCGCCACCTTGATCTCTAGCATGATGGAAGTCCATCCTGACGAGGTGGTTGTCCAATTCTTCTGTGGATTACACACCGCTCCCCTAGATCCCTGGCACGGGCCGAACGGTCTAGTCCGTTCTATTGCCATGCAGCTCTTGATGAAACTAGTCAAGATGAACATTCTAAAGTTGGGGTTCATCAACGATCGAGACTACCTGAGAGACCTTGAGCAGCACGACTTAAGCAAACTCTGCGACACATTCTACTCGCTTGTGTCTCAATTCCCGGCCGACACGAGAGTATACTGCATCATCGACTCCATTTCTTGGTTCGACAAGGACAGGACTTTTGCAGAATTAGCCACTGTAATGGAATGGCTGCAATACATGGTTGAGGACCGGTCACTGATTCCTATATTCAAGATAATGCTGACAAACCCGATGAAAAGTAACAGGAGAATGAAGGAGTTGCCGGTGTTCAAAGAGAACCCGTCTAGACTTGTCACTCTGTCTTCGAGGAACCTGATACCCATGGGAATATCTAACAGAGCGATAGAGCGTCAACTTTCCAGATCCCCATCTCCGTCACCACTCATACCCAAGAAGGGTGTGTCTAGAATTGCAAGACAGGAAAATTATGACGATAATTATGGTGATTGGTAGCAACCTATGTGATAATGGCGGGCTGAATATTTATGACTGTATGCCTCACTTTGGTTACTTGAAGATAAAGGCCATATAACTATGCTGTAACGCTGTTTCTTGACTTCCTCTTCTGCATATCACATGCTATATTGTGATTACGTAGTGGCGTCTGGAAATGCTGCCTCACCACGATAGCATAGGGAGCCGATGCGGCATGAAAGTCGAAAGGGTCTTTCTAAGAACAAGCAAAATGTAGACTGATGCCGTAAATTAATCTTTCTGTAGGTAAAGTACACAGTATGAAGTCACAACGCCCGGCACCCCATGATAAGTCCTTGAAAAAAATGCACCATCCCTCTACCAGCCAAACCCATCCAATTAAAAAAAAAAAAAAAAATTGCGCTAATAAAGGGTATTGATCGTCAGAAGAACGTTAAGTAAGCCAGCGCCGAAGGCCAGCAGAAACAACATGAATATAGAAAAAAAAGCCAAGATCAGCTCTGGAAGCTGTACATGCGCACTTCGCAATCCTCGCTTCCAGTAGCAAACCGACTGTCACCAAGACCAATGCAGGTGACAGGGCCAGAGTGGCCGGTGAACGTGCGCTCGCACTTTCCGGTTCGCGGATCCCAGATCTTGATCATCCGGTCCTCAGCCCCAGACACAATACGCAGGGTATCCGCTGCCAAAGCCCAGACACCCTCCAAATGGCCGAAGAACGTACGCAGGCACCGGCCGGTGCTGGTCTCCCACAGACGGATTGTCGAGTCCAAAGCGCTAGTAACAATGTAGCGGGGCGGCGCTGTCCGACCAGACTCAAAGGAAGGGCCAAATGGTGAATTCTGCGAGATAACTGCATTCGACTCGAGGCCAAGGGTGGCCTGAAGAGATGCCGGCTCGGTGTCACCGGAGACAGTGCTGAGGTTGTCGTTCTCACATTCCACATCATGCTCTTCGAATTCGAATTCCCGGGGAAGAGGGACAACCTGTTGAACTTGTCCCACATGGCCATGGAACGTCCGGATGCAGGACTTGGTATCCAAATCCCAAAGCCGAACCGTGCAGTCGTCCGACGCCGAGAACACCGTGCGAGAGGCTGTGTCAACTCGGACCGCGTTGACCCAGTCCGTGTGTCCGCGTAAGAGGCAAGTTGACTTGTCCTCAAAATTCCAGATCTTCACAGTCTTATCAACAGATGCGGATGCGAGGATGGTAGCGTCAAAGTGCAGCCCGATTACTCCGCCACGATGACCAGTATACGTGGAAATGCAATCGCCAGTGCGCCAGTTCCAGACCTTGACGCTGCCATCCATACTACCGCTGATTAACTTCGTGTCATCAAACTGCAGGCATCGGATACCCGATTCGTGTCCCCGAAGCGTGCGAATTTCCTGGCCCGTTTCGGTATCCCAGATCTTGATCGTCGCATCGTAAGATCCGGTTGCCAGGATGTTGTCCTCGAATTGCAAGCACATCACGCCATTTGTGTGGCCCTTGAAGATTCTGATCGAACAGCGTCCGTACTTCCAGTTCGTGCCCACCTTGAAACGATCCTTGTAGACTTCCTTCCAAGGTCTGTACCGGGTTTTGAAATAATCTTCGCTTCCTTCTGGGCGCATCGCGAGCGACTGGCAATGGCGTTTGACGACGGCAGTCTCTTCCTCGCTTGGCTCAGGCTTTCGTTTACCAGTACTGGTACCAATGCTGCTGTCGGCGACAGGCGAAGAACCCTCAAGGAGCGCAGGCGCCTCTTTCGGAGACGGGCTGTTGACGTCCCAGGTCGTGGCGCGAAGCTCAATCTCGCGCTTCGATTCACGAAGCCTCTTCCGATCCAGAAGAGGAAGTCCCCAGCCACATTTCTTGCACTTGCGATGAATATGTTGCTCGCACATGCGATGCCAGACCACATCGTCGTCGGCCAGCGCCCTCCAACGTCGCGAAACCTGTGCGGCTTTACAAAGAGAAGTGGTGTCCAGGTAGCACAGGATTTTGAAAGAGATCTCCGGAGGAAGAGCGGCAATGAAGTCGATTCGGATGAGGTCACGGACGGTGGTGGAAATGAACGAGAGTTGAGGGAAGCAGCATTGAGCCATGATTCCCTGGAGTATGAGTTTTCGGTGCTTGGCTGGGGCGGCTGAGAAGAGCGACCAGACATGCGCAATGCCCTGCTGATCACTCTGAGGGAGCGACTCCAATTCCTAGGCCCCCGTTAGTCCACGATCATGAATGCAAACATTTTTTGCGGTGTCCTTCGGACGAAAATGGTAGAGGACATACCCGTTGCAATTTGTCCATTGTCGGTTCGTCGGCCTGCCGGCGACACTTACGGTCTGGGCGATGTCGATAGCAATAGCGGGAGTTTGCGCTGCTCAAAGCGGCAGGTTCTCTGTTTTGCGATCCGAGGGGGGCGTATTGGTCGGGAACGTGCTTTGCGAGGAAAGGGGCGACACTTTTGCCCACGAGCTTGGCCGAAGTTGCTGTTACGTTGTTGCGATTGTGGGGCTTCAGCTGGCTATTGTCGGCATCAGCATCGATCTCCTCCGCGGAGTCAGCGTGACCACCGAAGATCGATGTGAAGGCCGGGGGTGAGGATATGGCTTTCTCCTCCTGAGACCGTGTGCTTTCCATCTTGCTGATTTGAAGAACTGTGGTAAATTCTCCCACGCGACGGCAGTCCGAAGTTGTGCCACTGGAACCGCAGCGCCGCTACTCGCCCGCTAGCGTGGCCTCGGCTACTGTAACCAGCGAGCTAGAAGCGCAGTCGTAGATAGCACCAGGCTGTATGGCTTCAAGATATACTATTTCTGCGAAGGGTTCTAGCGCAGAAATAAAGAGAAAGAAAGTGGTGACAAGATAGTTGACTGGTGAGGACCCTTGAGGAGAGAGGGGTGTTTGAGTAAAGTTGAGTAAGTTGCCAATGACCGGGGCGGAGGACGGAGAAGGGTGGACGGGAGGCGGGAGACGGTCGCAAGTGGTGCAGGGCGATTAAAGGCTGTTAGTACAGAGTAGGTAGATAGACCGATAACAAGAAACAATAGGAGCTTGATCTGGACCAGCCAATCTCAAGAAAAGTGACCAGACAATCCTGGGGAAGGAGTATAAATATAAATGTCGAACAGAAGAATTCCAGAAGAACAACGAAGGAAAAAAAGACGTGATCACGCAAAGGCCGATGATGGACTCGTGCTGCCAGTCTCGATTGGGTCCAATCACGTGCGAGCGATGGCGCCATCGCCGCCTCCCGTCGCAACATCTCTCGCCTTTCACTACTACTAAGCGCTACTAAGCAGTACCGCTGCTGGTGCTTCTCTCCAGCGATCATCCCCCCCGAACTATTGCTATCTGGCCGCTGTCGCCATCGCGGGGGTCAATTGCGGATCCCCGACTTTGACTCAGATCCTCCAGACGATCGGCTAACTAGCTAGTCTGCTAGTGAGGGAGCTGCAGTCGAGCTGGTCCTCGAGCCGAACTCCCATGGGCCCTCCGAGACGCTAAGGTCGCCTGCCTGAACTCCATCCATCCCGTCCTCTATCGTCACCTCTCTCTCCAATCCCGCATTTTCAGGCCTCTGGTCTTTCTGACCCCTGCTGCGAGGCGCAATTGCTCCGCTCAGGTATTTTTGGGTCCTATTCTAGCGTCGACTTTCTGGATTGGCATTACTCCCATAGCTCGTACAATATCACACTCCTCCACTGACGAAGCGTTGGGTATCAACCACCAGCTCCTCAGACCAGTCCTGGGCACGATAACCCCCCCTCTTGCCTTCCATCCTGCTTCTTCTGCAGGCTTCCTTGTTTTCTACTGCAGGCGGAACGACAGGAAGCACGGTCGACGGAGACTTACACAGGTGTTACCTTACTAGGTCTTGTTGACCAGTCATCTGCAAACTCACCGCCAGATCCTTCTTTTTCCAGCAGGGCCTCGTCGATCGCACTTGAAACTGAGAACTGACGAAATCAAGGACTCGAAATTTTTCTGATTCCATTATTGTTACAGCCCCATGAGGTGATTGTGCACTAGATTTATGACTTCTTACGACATAGCTACTGTAACGTTGCTCCGAAACTTACTCCTTCCGGCCGTTGCACGGCTCTGCCCTGAACCACTACATTTTGCTGTTTTATCGGGCATTATTGAGCCATTCTGTCAGGCTATCACGCCAGCATTCCTCCTTTCGCTATAATCTCCAATCAGCGCCAATTACGCCGACCCCTTTTCCAAAATGTCAGCATCAGGGTCATTATCGGCCGGCAGCGATGCGTCTGGCCCCGATTCGCCAGCTGGAGACCAGGGCAATGCATTGCCTCAGTTGGATTCTCTCATTTCCCACCTGGTGGCAGCAAAACGGTCCCTGTCATCTATCAATCACGTGTGGCGTGCCAATGAAATTGTAACTTCCGCTCGCTCTGCACTGGAAGAGAGTGTCGTGATTTCCGCACGGACTGGCTTTCTCCGACGCGGGCTTAACAATCAACTGCGGCTTCTATACAGCGTCCGCTCTGAAGTCGAAGAAGTCTCTCTCAGGGGCCGGTCGGAGTTCGCTAGTGTCTTGAAAAGCCTGGACACTGCTGATGCCCGATTGAGAAAGACGCTTGACTCCTTAAGGGATACAATCGTTCACTCTTCATTTCGTCCCGACGGCGAAGAACCCAGAAGCTTACATGACTTTGTGGATGAACGTGGGGTTGAGGAGCTTCGTGCGGCTTTGAAGAGCTCAATTGATCGCACCAATGAGGCGCAGGCGGAACTGGATACTTCCAACTCCGCGTTCGATGATGAACTCCAGTCCATCAAGCAAGCTCTGGGTAATTACCGAGAAGCTACCAAGTTAGCTTCCTCGTCCTCATCATCGTCATCCGCGTCCAATTCGAGCCTGCCGTCATTGTCATCAATGCCACCCATGTTACAGTCATTGGAGATGCATGCGCAGGAAATGGCCAATCTGCTAGAGTCCTTAGTTCAGCATTTCGATCTTTGTGTAACTGCTGTAAAACATACGGAAGGCGGTGGAGCTGCCGCGCGATCCATTACCGGTGATATGCCCGCTGCCGTCACCGTCAGTGGCCGTGGAGTACCGAATATCGAGCAAGGCATTCATGACAATTTAAACGCCCCACTTGATCCCTTGAGTGAGTCTGACTATCAGGAGATGGTGAATGTCTTGATCAAGGATGCAGCAGAGGCCGAAGACGTGGTCATGGAAATTCAAGATCGCATTGGCGACATGGAGTCAATACTTGAGAACGTCTTGTCTCAACGCGATGTTCTTCTCTCCATCTACAATGCTACTACTGGCGTCTTCCGACACCTGTCGTCTCTTGCAACTGCGCGTCTACCGGGTTATATTGCTCAGGCACACAGCTTCACTCGTGTATGGGGCGAAGAGCACGATCGTATCAACGGTGGGCTAGCAGACCTGTCCGATCTCAACACCCTTTACGACGGGTTTTTAGAAGCCTATGATGGCTTGATTCTGGAAGTGGCACGCCGACGGCACGTACGACAGCGTGTGGAAAAGGTGCTTCGAGAAACGAAACACAAATTGGATCAGCTGTACGAAGAGGATGTCAATGCTCGCGAAACGTTCCGAGTCGAGCAGGGGGACTATTTGCCATCCGACATTTGGCCTGGTATCAGCCGCGAGCCGATGCGAATAGAATTCCGACGCATATCCGGGGGTAACCTCAAGGGTGTCTCTCCCGAACAGCCGGATGCACCAGACCAGCCAGCTGCTGAACCCAATGAGCCCCAGCCAGTACCTTCTGAAAGCACAGAGGAGGGAGAAATCATTCCACATCTCCCCAAATCCCTGGTTGAAGAGGCTCTTCATCGCCTCAAGGCGAGGAATAGACAAGCCATGTAGTCTTTCGTGGTATCTCAGAGAGCTCGTCAATCCCATTATTGCCACTGGGATTGTCAAAGGGTTATTTCTTGGCAGTTATGAAACATAGTAGACGACCTAGATGATGAAGACACATTCAGGCTTTGTCCTATCCGATACCGGCCATGCCTCTTGCCAGTAAGGTGGATCAACTACACGTTAGACACATACTCCAGCGTATCATAATGACTCGCTCAGGACGTAAGTGCTACCGTGTATCTCCACTTGGCAGTTGGCAATGGACTGGAATGAAGATCAAAGAGAGCTCTGATAGGTCGTCCAATCAATCATGTAACTGATCAAATATATAGATCTTACATTGAATCAAGTTACTCTTTCTTCCAATATATAGAAAATAGGCAGCGATCTGAACGGGCATTCTACTAAGAACTCAAACTGTTGTTGAGCAACTTGTAACCTGCAGTGGCCGTTTAATGATAAGTCGGCATGGTGAGAAACCCCCTCCCCCCTGCCCACCCGTTGCGGTACAGTTGCAGAATGGTAATAGGTAGGTTTAGACAACTGTTTGTAATCGCTGTCTTGTCGTGACTAGTATTATATACTGTATATGAATATATATGTTAACATTATAGTAACTTGTGTTTTTCCTTGCTGTTATAGACCCATTTCATCAAAGTTCCGTGATATATATTTTATCAATGATGGGCATTACTACCATGAGTATTGGTGGTACCCCAACCCACTTGAGTAGACATATGAATACTACACGTTTCAAATATCTATTCTAGTTAATAATCATTGATAACCAAATATGTACATTTGTTAGTAATGACTTTGAAACTTTAAAAACTATTGATTACCAGTATATACTCCCTCACCACGACAGCTAGGGACCTTAGTGTGACTATGGTAGTAGGGACCGTACAGTAGTGAGTGACACTAACTAGCACTAGTAGCAGACCTCTCCAGTCCTTGATGGAACATACTACTCAACTGTATTCAGAAACTAAATGAGGCGATTACACCAGTGCAGCAATAAATCTGACGTATCAAGTTTGCATTCCCTACACCCCCATATGCAGATCTATATGCTCATAGTATAAACTGGAAGATATATATGCATCCAACGAACCAATACCCACCCAATGAAAGGTCATAAAACATCATGAGATCATGTGCATTCCAAAACGAAACAGAAAATAAGATCGACTTTTGTGTTTTTCCCATAGTAGCCCAATTATCTCCAAAAATGCCTGCATGCATATCAGAAAGAAAAATAAAAAAAATAAGCGTTCAAATCAGCTTCATCCCTCATTTCTTCTTTCTCGAAGACGAAGAAATGAGTCGTTTCTTCATATGCTTCGGCATTTTATTCGCGCGCTTCTCGCGTTTCTCCTCCTTGACCTTTTGCTTGTGGTCGCGCTTCTCGTCCTTATCTTCGAATCGCTTACCGCGGGGCGCCTTCTTCGCGAAAGGATCTTTTTCTCCGTCTTCCGAGTCGGATTCCTCATCGACAGATACGCCACCGTCAGAGCCAGCCTCGGAACCTTCTTCCTCTTCATCCTCACCGTGGCCCTCTGCCTTCTTCTTCTTCTCGCCTGCGAGAAGATCCCGGTAAACGAGGTCGTCGCCCTTACCGGCACGGACTTGCTCGGCGTCGCGCTCAAAGTCGTACACCTGTTCCAGGGTTTGAGGGATGTATTGTTGACGGAAGACGGCGGCGTCGACTTCAGTATCGCCCTCGGCGTTGTCATTGCGGGTGGCAAAGAGGTGCTCGATGGCTTCGAGCATTGGCTCTGCGGGTGTGACGGTAGTAGGGCCATCGCTGGAGATGACGAATTCGAAGACAGCCCGTTCGGTGAGGACATCGACGTTCTTGCGACGGAAGAAGTCGCTGATGTTCTTGATATCCATACGCAGGAACTCCAAACTGCGGGGGTGGTCGTGTTCGACACTCTGACTGACATCGATAATGTGGAGCTTGTTCTTGTGGTAAAGCATGTTGTATTCGCTCAGATCGGCGTGGACCAGGTGGCAGGTCTGGTACATCACGCGCATGTAGCCGAGCAACTCCATGTAGATCTCGCGCCACTTGGCATCGGGGTCGGGGATATCGAACTCAACGTCCTTGAGTCTAGGAGCGGCGACACCCTTGGAGCTTCCGACGAAGCCCATGACCAGGACGTGGAGGCGCAGGTGGATGGGCTCGGGGCAGGGGATGCCGGCAGCGTAGATACGGCGCAAGTTACGCATTTCCTTTTC